ATTTAATCCTCTTTCTGGCTCTCTTTCATGCACACATACATAGTTATGAGGCAGAAGGAAAAAATGGCATGTCCTTGAAAGCAACTGTCATTTTGTATAACTTCTCTCTGCTGCTGAAATCAAAACATCTCTTTTACTTACTAATTCATAGTACTCCTTCTAGACATGTCACGAAAAGCCAGTATGCACCGTAACTTTAAAAAAACAAAAAGAAACCACTAGCCACTTTGGGTACTGCACCTTACAAAAAGTGCTTGAAAATCCTAAGCCACAAAAATATAGAGCTGTTATAAATCACAAAAGTAGTCATTATGAGTAATAAAAATCTACTTAGCACATATATTAAGTGCGATTTTATATACATATATACACATATAAATGTGTGTATTTTTTTTTTCCATTAACTGTTACTTATGCAGCCCCTGCCCCAAAAATATCAAATTTAAGGGCAGGAAAAGGCTGCAAAGTGTTTAATTCACACCTTTTTGACACCACATCTACTAGTTCCAAAGTGAATGGGCAACACAAAGGATACAAAGTTATTTTAATTAACTTATCACATTTAGTCTTAAAAGCACCCAAAACTGAAGAAGTTATGTGACCTTGGAAGACGTCACATAACTATAAAGGCAGATCCAGTATTAAAAATTCAGTCTCTTGGGCAGCACCTGTAGCTTAGTGAGTAGGGCACTGGCCCCATATACAGATGGTGGCGGGTTCAAACCCAGCCCTGGGCCAAACTGCAACAAAAAATAGCCGGGCGTTGTGGCAGACGCCTATAGTCCCAGCTACTCAGGAGGCTGAGGCAAGGGAATCACCTAAGCTCAAGAAGTGGAGGTTGCTGTGAGCTGTGACGCCACAGCACTCTACCAAGGGCAACAAACTGAGACTCTGTCTCTTAAAAAAAAAAAAAAAAATTCAGTCTCTAGACCTATCCACCACACTCACAGCACCACAGAGGTACAGGCAGCAGGTCCTGCATAGCCAAGGTGGGGGTGGGTGGGAGCACACATCCAGGACTCAGACTGACAAGTTCAACTCTAGCTCTGCTGCCTACTTCATAGCCCCCAGCACAGTCTCCTCACGTATAACAGCAGAACAACAATAATTCCTACCTCATCAAATCATTGTGATAATTAAACAAGAGAATCCATCTGAAACACAGTAAATATTGACCATTTACTAATGATTTATTGATCATTTTCATGTCTGTTTATATCATTAAATGGAATGATATAAAACTTCATTAAGAATAAAAGTTGTGGCTTGGCGCCTATAGCTCAACCAGCTAAGGCGCCAGCCACGTACACCTAAGGTGGCGGGTTTGAATCCCCAGCCCG